AAATTGGGATACCACTTGTCATAAGGTTATTTATGTCATTTTTTCTATTGAACCTTTTGTTTTTAATAAAATAAATTCTAGATTTAAAATATGAAAATATATTACTCTTATTTATTAAATATAATAAGTTGTTCATATATTTGGGTAAATATAAGCACTCAAATAAATTGCCGATTGATTTCATGTAGTAAATATAAGTTGTTCATATATTCTAGATGATGGAATTGTGACTATACAAAATATTAATTTATTTTTGTATGTGCATATATACTAATGTTATTATGCTACAATCATTATTTCATATCTATTGAATAAATCTTTCTACGCAAAACTAATGCTTCACGTTCAAAAAATTCATTATCTAAATCCGCTTGGTTACGGAGAAAATGTTTGATTACATGCCATCAATAGACCATTTTCATCTTTGAGTGCTTATGTTTTTGCAAATATATGAGTAACTTATATCTAATAATAATAACGTACTCCCAATAATTCTAAATATTTCTTTTGTCCAATTTATCCAACACTTAGTATATTTTTTTCAAAAAAAGCTAACATGCTTAACATCATTCCACTAATAATACTCCTATTTTATATAAATAGTAATTTTATTTTATTTTATAATGTCCAAGGATTACTATCACTTTATGTTATCTAATTTTTTTTTATCACATATTACAAATGAAATTTACTAATTCAATTACGAAACATATCATTCAATCATGCAATTTAATTAGTGGAACTTAAATAACGTCAGGATTTAAGTTCTATTAGTTTAAGTAGTGTGTTACCATTTTGCCTTGAACTAAAACTTAAAAACATTTTATTTCCCAAGAGTTTAGAATAATACTTCCTCCATTCATTTTTAATTGTCATAATTTTCTTTTTCAGAGTCAAACTATAATAACTTTGACTAACATTTTATGGTGTACTTTTTCATCATATTGATATGCAAAAAATTATAATTTATAGTGTTTTTCGTATAGTTTTTGAATATCTAAACTTTTTTGTTTAAAATATCGAATTAATATAATCTAATTTAACTTTGAAAATTAATCAAAATGACTTCTGAAAAACACAACATGACAATTAAAAGTGGACGGAGAAAGTAGTACATACTTTTTGCCTGCCACTCCTTTTCTTTTTTTTTTTTTTTTTTTGTACAACTTTCATTTGTTCTTTTGGTTGTATATAATGCATTGAATTATTGGTTACTCCACCACCTTTTTATCACTTCAACTGCAGTCGTTTTTTTTTCTTTTTCTGGTACAGAAACTTCACATATATGGAGTATTTAATTGCTTCACTCATGTTCTTGCCTTTAAGTGGTTTCCTTTTTATTACTTTAATAAAATAAATAAATCGTAGCCTTTGATTTTAACGTTTAGTTCTTGCGACGAATTATAGTAGAGAATCCTTTTGAAAAAAGCCATATTTTGAGACTAAGATTTCTCTTTAATCAAAGGAAATAATAGAGGTGACTGATTTCAAATGAGTATTACTATTCTATTTTACTTGGCATACTTTTTTTTTTTAGTTCATCTTAAAAAGAATGTTATATTTTTATAATTTTAAAATTTTATTTTATTCTTAATGAAATGATTTATAGCCGCACAAATGATCAAAGAGTATTATAGCCAACAAATTTTAGATCCCTGAGGGATGAGAAGGAGTTTAATTTGCATAGCTTTATGATTTTTCTCCATTATGCAAACATATAAGTTGTACGACATTATTTTTAGGCTATATGGTTCATAATTAAAGACTGGTCGAATTCTCCTTTTTACATTTTTAAAAATTGCTTATTATCAAGCATTATCTTGACTTTTTTTTTAAGCGTTATCTTGACTCCACCTATATGATTAGCAGTAAAAGAAATTAAGAAGATATGTATGTCAAATATATTATTATTATTGGCTTGGTGTAGTCAGGTGAATGATTTTTAAAAAAACAGTCAACGTGCACTTGTTTACTTTATGAATCATCAAACATTAAAATCCCCCCTTGGCCAAGCATCATGCACCTATCAGACATCTCGTCCAGATTAACATATCCGCTCAGTAATAAGAAGAGAATTTCGCACCCTATATTGTCTTAGATTTAAATATTAAATAATTAAAAATTATTTATTATTTTAATATATAACACCTTCTTTTATTTAAAATTAATAATATATAATTCAAATAAAATATTAAAGTAATCTACTATATTAATAAATATTTTTAAAAAGTATATGATAGTTGGGGATGAATAATGATGATGGCTAGCGATGGTGGTTGTGCTTATTGATCGGAGATTATGTTATGTGGTGATGGTGACTAACAATAGTGGTTGATAACGGTAGCCTGTAGTTAATGGTGAAAACTAATAATTGACCTGAATGATAGTGATATCTAACAGTAGCGATGAATGATGGTAGTCGGATAGTGAATGATGATAATTGATAATGACGGACAAAATGATCGATTATTCATGACATAATGTTCCATTGCAATGGATCTGCGTCAAACAGTCCATTACTAGATCCCAATGCTCACGTCTACAGTTGATGGACTCATGATCAGAAACTATCATTTGGTCCATATCTTTGTTTCTCCATAAAACAAATATATATATATTGATCAGCTTAAAGCGTTGAAACATTAATTCTAGAGGCATTAACACGTTATTAGTGACTAAACTTGTTTTTTTTTTTAAATATATGGTGCGTGAATATTAAGTTGTCATGCCTTAATTTTCCCCACACTTTGGCTTGCCCTGCCTTACACTAAATCCCACTTCCTCCAACCTGCCAAATTACAATAAGGCTTCTTGGATTAATATGTTTGATACATATAGTATACTAGTATTGAAACAAACTCGATTCCAACACAAGCATTGTTATATATATTTATTGTTGAATACAAGTTATAACTAGAATACTTACAACAAAGTAATAACACACTATCTAAAGAAAAATTAACAAAGAAGAAGATAATTAGAATGTGATGAGATACTAAAACGGAGAAAGGGAATGAGAGATAACTGTTCGCCAAAGTTTCGACATAATTTGATAACAATTCAATTATTTGCATAACTGAATTGCAAATAAAACTTTCCAACATTTTATTTGGCACAATAATATCAACTGAATCAGTCTTATTTACCATGTGTAGCTCATATACCTTTACAGAGTTATCTTGGTTCATAACCCATATTGATTTGAGGAAATAATTAGGAATATTATTATCCAAAAGGGCTAAGTTTGATAATGCACAAGCGATAGTTGGAATTGTATATTTTAAACCAATGAAATATGCAATCTGAGTCACCGTTAACCTGAGTAATGGGAAAATGTGACATTCAAAGTTATAAATACATAGTTTCTCTAAATATCATTTAAATTTGTCAAAAATATATTTATTAAAGAGAGAATAGTTACCCGGAAAAAGAACATAAGAAAATCCAGAAAACTGAGGCTTTGTTTTCCTGGAGTCAACGACAGATTTAGCAATTAATTAGTTTTCAAGTTGGGATGATCGAAATATTGCGCATGAGATAAAATTTATATTGTGTTTAATAATGATGAGAAGATACATTTCAATTTAATTAGTTACCTCTCGAAGAAGTAAGCAAAGGGAGATAGTGCCAATTATTTGGCGATAAGCAATGTGGACGAAAGGGTTCATGTCTGCATACACAAACTGCACCATCACCTTTATCAATAAAGGCAATATGTCGTCACCCATTTTTTATTTTTTATTTTTAATTGGGCTTAGCTAGGATGAAGGTTAATGGGCAGCTAATTAATGTTGTTGGGAGAATTACAAGAAGAACAAAAAAGAGCTAACATAACAAAAAAGATTGTATTCGGCTGATGGGCCCAATACAGATATACAATGGGCTGGAGACTCAGAAGCTACTGTTTGTTGAGAATCTCAGGCCCAAGCAATGAAGAGAAAGTTATCACAAAGGAAGTTGGAATGTGCAAGTCCATCATTTGTTTTCTTTAATTTATAATGCACTTTCTGTTAGCTTGTTGCTCATAATTTGTAAATTTGGATAGTTTATTATGACGTGAACATAGACTAAACCCTTCGGGTGACAAATCGAATCAAGTATAAGAATCTCCTACAATATTTTGTCTTTTTAAAAAGAGCGCATAACGTCACCACACAAACGGAAACGATGGATGGAAAACGAGTCCAACTTGCCATGCCGACTGCTGTGTGTCATGTCATGTGTGTGAAACATAAAAACTGCTAAAGTTGATGGAGTAAAGAAGAAAAGGCAAAGATACTTTCTTTTAAAAAAGTTAATGTCAAAAATGGTGAGATTCCAAATTTAAAATTATTTTCTTTCTATTTATAATAGGAGTATCTGTCTTAAGTCTTAGTTGATAAATAAAATTACTACTCCCTCCGTCCACAATTGTTTGGCAGGTATACTAAAAATAGATGTCCAAGATTAATTGTCAATTTAAACAATCAAGAAATAATTAGTCATTTTTTTCCAATTTTGCCCTTAATGATTGTGTAGTTCAATTGAAAAGTTATGTAGACTTTTGGTATTCTTGATATAGTGGGATTATATTAGTCAAATTACACCTTGTATTAAATTTTCCTTGAGGGATGTGCATGACCTTATCCTGACAAACAATTGTGGACGGAGGGAGTATCTACATACGTTGCCTGAATTTGAGAACTAACTTTTTTTTCCGTGTTTGATTAAGTATGAAGTTTATGGTTTTCTTATTTGAAGATTTATTTTATATGTAAAATAAGTTATACAATTATATTTCATTACAAGTTAGAATAAGTATTTTAAATTAAATTATTATCATTTATTCTTTTACGTATGAACTAATAAAAAAAAACCTACAACATTGGGAAAAGAACAAAATGAGGACAACCTACTACCAAGTCAGTGGAACCCACATATTGTTCTGAATGGCCCATATTATTTTCAGGAACTGCCAACGTTCTATTACTAAAAAGAAGCTAAAGATGAAGTGAGTAGTGACTACACTTCCTCCAAGTAAAAGTTATGAGAGCAAAATAACATGGCTTGCCTCTCATTTTTGCCACACATTTTACAAGCTTCAGCTTACATTATACTTTTTATTTCTTTCATTCTCTCCTCTTTTTCAAACCCAGTTCAATCTCAGTGTAAAAATCGACCAGTCATTTTCAATTTTGGTGATTCTAATTCGGATACGGGTGGACTCGTTGCCGGACTCGGGTACCCCATTAACCTTCCAAATGGTCGAACTTTTTTCCGCCGTTCAACTGGCCGTCTCTCTGATGGCCGCCTTATTCTCGATTTTCTATGTAAGTCCTTTTTTTTTTTTTTTTTTATGTATAAAGAAATTAATTAATTGTACATTGAGAAGTAAATAACATTAATGTGTAATGTATGTATTTGAAGTTGGATTCACTTCATGTATTGATTGGTAGGTAGAGCGTCATATCTGTGAAAGATTGTGAATTGTGATGAATATTTGATTGGGTCCTACATGGATTTTTTTTAATATTTCTTAGCATTTTGGAGAGTGAATAGCTTTACTTTCCAAAATTTATGATCCTTGACAGTGAAAATTTTGACTGGCTAAACTATGATCTCTATCGTACATAGTATACTCTATTCACTTGTTAATCCTTAGACAAGATCTGAAGTAGACCGTCTACCTAGTGCAAACATTAGTGACTGCTTCCACAACTCAAGTGTGACCAATAGTTCAATTGTTGCTCCAAGGCTCCCCTTCACTTTGTACAACAAGCTAATTTGAAACATTTCATTTACCTGGACTCTGTTTTACAATGTGATACTCTTGTAAATAGCAAAATACTTAAAATTGATAACTCATTGATGGTTGAAAATGTCAATGTCCAGAATGAATTAATGATCTTCAGACAATGGTTTACTTAGACTTTTATGTATTTGGAAATACTAGGCAATTGAGTCATTTAAGGAAGGACTGTAACACTACAGTGGAGCTTAGGAAGTTGGAGTAATGCTTAATGGAACGTTGAAGTGAAAGGTGATTAGGACCTCAATTGTCATGAATCTTATGTAATGTGCAAAACCATTACAATTGTTATGTCTCCTACTGTATTGAGACAAAACATATAGCAGGTATCTTCATTGTGCAGAAAATAGTTATGGTTGGAGCTTTTGGTTCACACATTCTTATCACGTGCCTTGGGAATATAGAATATCTTTCCAAATAAAAATGAAGACAAGATTGTAATAGGAATTGAGCTGACGAATATTTCCAATGGTCTTATTATTATTATTCATAGAACTTTCAAAGATTTTGTATGCCTTGCATTATTCTGGGATCGGTGTTGCCCTTCAGCAGCAATACATCCCTTCCTACTATACTGAATCGATCGTTTTAGTTGGGGATCAACCAAGTGCTTGGTCATCTTTTTAGTTATTATTTTGCAGAAGTGGCATGTGATGTGGACTTCTTTCTGCAATCACGGTGTAGGTTATTGTATATATACATGCTATTTTGTTATGTAAACATGATTTTAATCTTTCCAAGTATCATGAGATACCAATGTATATGAGCTGAGATTACAGTATTGTCAGCGCAGGTCAAAGTGTTAATACAAGGTTCCTGAGCCCATACCTAGACTCTGTTGGATCTAGTTTTTTGAATGGAGCAAATTTCGCTATAGCAGGATCTCGGTTACTACCTAAGTATGAACCGTTCGCATTAAATATTCAAGTCTTGCAGTTCCTTCATTTCAAGGGTCGCTCAATTGAACTTGTTAGTGCTGGTAATTCTTACACTTTCCTTTGATTCTCTGTCCAACACTCTACTGATAATAAAATACAAATAAAAACAAAAGAAACGTGTGCTCAGAAATGTGAATATGATTTGGCTTGTCTCATGTTGTTGCATTCAGGGTCTGGAAATTTAGTTGGTGATGAAGGATTTCGCAATGCTCTTTTCATGATAGATATTGGACAGAATGACCTAGCCGATTCATTTGCTAAGAACCTGTCTTACACAGAAGTAGTCAAGATGATCCCCTCCTTTGTTACAGAGATCAGGAATGCAATTCAGGTCATTTCTTTAATCACTAATTGCTCACTTTTCCTTGCTTCCCCGCCGAAAAGAAGAAAGTACATTAGGTACAAGCATATCAGTAGCTTAATATGTAAAAAAGCATTGGAAGGATAAAGTTAGTTGAGAAAGGTGGCATCACAAGGTTTTTTTTAAACATCATTACAAGGTTAAAGATTTGCTGAAAGTTAGCTACTTAATTTTAGGTCATGTATTCTCAAGGAGGAAGAAAATTTTGGGTCCACAACACCGGACCACTAGGATGTCTGCCTCAAAAGCTTACTCTGGTTCAGAAAGTTTCTTCTGATCTCGATCCACATGGCTGTCTGGCAAATTACAACTCTGCTGCAAAACTGTTTAACGAAGGGCTTCAACATTTGTTGCAAGAGTTGAGATCTGAAATGAAGGATGCTACTATTGTGTATGTAGACATATATGCTATCAAATATGATCTTATAGCCAACTCCAGCAGTTATGGTAAGCATAAAATCTGTTCTCGTTTGGTTAATCAGCTAAATTTTCCTGGTTCTTAGGTTGTCGATAATCAGAATGAATCTACTAAAGTTGGTACTGAAAGGCTGATATTATTAGTGAAAAAATGGCAGGAGATAACATTCCTTGCTCTTGTAAATTAAATTAAAAAACAAGAAAATGAAGAATTTGACGTCTCGTGACTGAAATCTCAAGGTCTAAGAACTTCACGTTGGAAGTATGATGGCAAGCCGATATAGAATAGTCACTTGTCTTATATACAGTAGTGACATTTACTAAGTTATCCACTTCTGTGGAAACTTCCAAAGTAGTATGTTTCCTTCTTTTCATACCATCATGTTGAGAGATTCAACATAGTTTATACTCAAGAGCTTCAACCTGTTTGAAGATAGTTGGCAGCTTACTCAAAACTACTGTTCATATATGATGATTCTACATTTGCAGGCTTCTCAAATCCGTTAATGGCTTGCTGTGGCTATGGAGGTCCTCCATACAACTACCGTAAAGGAGTGACATGCGGTCAGCATGATTATCAGGTTTGCAGTGAAGGGTCTGAGTTCATAAGTTGGGATGGAGTTCATTATACCGAGGCAGCTAATAGAATTATAGCCTCTAAGATACTGTCAATGGACTACTCCACTCCAGGAATTGGCTTCGATTTCTTTTGCCATTGATGGTCATTTGCTAGAATAAAGTGCAAGCATGAATTAATACATGTTGCTTCAGAGTATTATGAAAAATATTTAATTTGGAAAAATAGAAAAATTGATACATTACTGGTTATTAGAAAGAGGCCAAGGTGAACTTTTTGCTCTTAAGTTTTGAAGTCAGGATTCTCTAACACTCTTTATTTCAGTCCACTTTTCCCTGTTATTTTAGGCATGTATTAATTTATGTTGTAGGTGCGTCTTATGATAATAAAGCCATTAAGTCTTTGTTTATTGTTTCTTTTGCAAGTAATTCACATCATGATGTGTCTTCTAGTTGACATAATCCAAAATATAATTTTTCTTGCATATGTCATCCATGAAAACTATATGCATAAAAGACCATCTCCAATCCAACACTAAATTTTACACCAAATAAATTTGGTGTAAAATTTAGTGTTTTGAGCTCCAATCCACACCAATTTTTACATCAAATTTGTTGTAACACTATTCATCACACCAAATTTGGTTGAAAACAACGAATTTGATATCAATAGATGTGGATTTGATCCCCGTTCTTATATATGCAACTAAAGCATTTATTTTTATCCATAATTATGTCAAATCATGTGGCTTTTTACAAATTATGTACTCTTTTGGCTTTAAGCATGCATTCTTCCTGGTAACCGAGTTGGTCTCAAAGAACCCAAGTGCATCTTGAAAAAAAAATGATCCTTCTATTTAAAAAAAAACTAAAGATGATTGATTTTATTTTTAAAAAAATGCAAAGTTTCATATATTATGCACGGGAAAAGAATCTTAACTCCTTTCTCATTTTGTATTGACATAAAATATTTTGGGAATCAAAAGTTATTTATTTAACATTTTAACAATGATCTTTTTAACATCCTCTTTAATCATACAAAAAATATCTTGTATAGCCTACATTTCATTTACGTAAAAATCAAGTAAAATTGTGGGGTTTCTAAGTGTATTAGCCACATGTCTATCTTAGACTTTAGTTGCTATAATAAGCACAATATTTGTAGGGGTCAGAAAAGACTGTAGTTGCTATAACAAGCACAATATTTGTAGGGGTCAGAAAAACAGAGACCCAAAGTCCAAATTCATCCAACTTTTACGGATGAGCCCATTGAATTATCAAGCCAACAAAAAATGAGTCAAATGTACACACATAACATTGCATTGCGTGCTGTAGCAGAAATCTAAATATGAGACCCCAAATTATTGTTCTTGTGTCTTTCATAAGCCAACCAATTATTTTAATGATATTAGAAACAAGAGAAAAACTCAAAAAATAAAAATGAAGAAAAAGAAGGTGCACTAACCATTGATAACTAAAAAATTAACATTTTCTAGATATATCATAAGTTCATAACTACACTAATAAGTACTCATATTCGAATTTTGGAAATGAAAATCTCCTGCCCGACAGAAATTTAAATTGATCAAATCAGTAAATTTCAGATATCATATAATCAAACTAAAAAAAAAACTACTCCTCTTACAATGAAAGATTGAGGTCCAAGTCCAACATATTACATTTTTTTTCTTCTTTTGTTCCTAACTTTTCCCCTGTTTCATCTTCTTTGTGTTGTTTGTTGGAGTTAGAATTGGAAGGACCTGCAATTGCAGAAGCATCAATTACCATGAAATCTTGTGATTGAATCCATGGATTCCAAATTCCAACAGCAGAATTGTTGTGAGCTGAATCTCTGTTACTATTATTTTCTTCCAAAATTTTCGATCTCTCTGTTACTTGATTTCTTGCTAACAAACGGTCACGTATATCTTTAGTGCTTCTTATAAGAGCAAAAAACTTGTCAATTTTCTCATCTTCATCTTCCTCTTCTTCCTTTTCTAATCTCTCATTCTCCAAATTCTTCCTCTTCCTTCTCTCTCTATCCATAATCCCTTTGTTGTGAAATAGAAGAAATAATCAGAGATGGGGGCAATGCAACAAAATATGAAAGATAAAGTTGTGTCTTATTAATAAAAGAAACTACTCGATCCCCAACTGTCCTCCCCACAACCCCCACCCCTCCTCGCCCTCTCTAATTCCGAAGCCAGAAATTTGACGAAGGATGTAATTTCTTTTACTTAATAAGAAAATGAAAAAATTAAATAAGTATATACTTTATTTGTCTTATTTTACTTGTCAAAATTTGACTTAATACACCAAAGTAATTATTGATATAGTAAATTTACCATTTTATTCATATTAATTGATAGAGTATTAAACATAATTACTCACTATATTTTTCAAAGACATTAACTCAATGTTAATAATTGAAGGTATAATAGAAAGAAAAAAAAAATGTTCTTTCTTGATTTATTAAAAATGACAAGTGAAAAGGAAAATCAAATTAGGAAATATTTGATAAGTAAATAGAGATGGAGGAGTATTAATAATAGCTACTCATTGTGTCCCATATTAGATGTACACTTTCTATTTACACGATAATTATTGATCAACTTTACTATTTTTTCCCTTGTTCATATTAATTAGCCCCTTGAAAAAAAAAATTGAATCTTCAAAGCTTGTTTAAACTTCCAAAGGTCATATTAATTGTAGGAGTAAAATGAGAAAAAAATAATTAATTTTATCTTAATTTAGTAAGTGATCAAATAATATGACACAAATATTTGAATTAAGATTCCTATCTAATATGAGAGAGAGAGAGTAATATTTAATCTTTGTACATCACATAGTTTTTGAGCAATGATGTGCATTAGATCATCCTTCTGATTTAATTTTTCATTATATTGAAACGAAAAAAAAATGTAATTTATAGTATTTTTAAAAATAATTTTTAATATCTAAATTTAATACCAAAACATTAAGCAGGGCATTGGCAATAGAAAATCAACTATTTTTTTTCGAAATTTTTGAAGATCAAATTATGTTTAGTTATACTTTTACAAATAATTTGAAGATGAAAGTTGTGTTTGGTTATACTTTTACAAATGTGAGAGGAAGGATTTTGTTTGGAATTTGAAATCCAGCCTCAACTTGGATTTAGATGATTTTCAAGTAAAGTAAATAATTATTTCAATAAAAAGTGGATAATTTTTATAGTCAAACAAATTCTTAATTAATTGAATCTAATTTAGTTTCAAAATTTAATCAAATTATCTATACTACATAAATTAAAAAATGAAGAATATTTTGCCCTTGTTACAATTTAGACTTTACATCATGAAATAACACATTGTCCGCTTTACCCTAATAAAACAAATAAATTCACCCTTTGAATTACATTATCATCAAATTTAAAAATATGTGTATCATGTGAATTTATCGAACCAATTTTTTTTTACCAGCCTCCATAGGCGTCACAATATCCTGCACTACCTTTTGTAGGTACTAATCGAATAACTCTTTTCAGTTTTTTATAGGTATATCATACATGGTGGTCTTCGAAAGGGGAATTCTATAGCTCATTGCAGATGATCTTCTCTTTCTTGCAAAAATTACGTTGATAAATATTTAAAGTATATTATGTAATATAGTTATAGTTTTAATTATTTTTTAATTTATGGTTATAGTTTTGCGAAATTTTGCTATTTAATTTTTTAATTATATAAATTTGGAATTTGTATAATTCAGTTCTTGATAGTGTAAGTCTAGAATTTCAATATGCTTACCATAACTATTTGTTTATAATTTATGAAAAAATCATGATAAATTATCATGTTTATATATTGGCAAAAAATTATACAAATGGAGTTATGAAAATTAGCTAAATATATAAATACAAAATTTATATATACTTATCATGTTTGTATATTTACAAGTGAAATATACAAACAGGCAAGCAAAATATACCAACTACAACCTCCATAGCAAACAAAATTATATTTATAAAGTATCATTACTAAACTATAATTATAGAGCCTTATTATATTTATTATCTTTGCTATTTCTGAAATTTTCTCTTCTTTTAATCATATAACGTAATAGGAGCCCATTCCTTGAAAAAAAAACAGAATGGAGAAAAGAGAAATACTATAAAATGAAGCATAAAATTATATGTTAACAAAAAAAGAGAAATATTTTACAAGTTCGTTCACAAATACTACTTACTTACTAGTGAGATTACATTTAGCGTTGAAATTTAACATTTTTTAAGATAATAAATATAGCCCTCTCCCCCAGGGATAAAAAAGAAAGCAAAAAATAGACAAATAATTTACCGTGAATAACCACTCCCTATTTAAATCTGACTTTTTTGGGATTCATAGTCTGAAAGCAATGCACATATTAAAGCTAAGAAAACATATTTTCTTCTATCTCATATTAGTTGCTAAAATTAATAAAAAGATCATCTTAATTTATTTGTTATTTTATAATATTAAAATAAAATTAATTATTTTTATTCCATTTTATCCTTAATATTAAATGTTAGAAATAACATTATCTTAATCTTATTCTTAAATAACGTGCAATATTTTGATGAGAGATAAAAATAAAATAGTAAAAAATATTTATTGTTTACTATTTTAAGGGACATAGGAAAAAGCTAATGTGGCAATTATGGGATCGAAGGAGAGTATAATATGGTGAGTATGCTACTCTCGAGTCTCACTATTTATTTTTACTCGTCTAATAATTTAAAATAGATTTTTATTTTTATCTGTTATTTTTTATATATAATAATAATAATATTTTTTAAATATTTTTATTCATAATATTAATTACTTATTTTTCAAAATCAAACAGGTATTATAAGTAAAAGTAAACGTAGAAAGTACCTAAGTTTTTTCTAACGAAGATGTCCACAATAACGTTTTGACTGTACATTTGTACTAGTTACTGATTTAGCTCACATCCTGACAACCATAATTAGATATGTAATTTGCAGCAATGTGATTTTGAGAGAGAAAATAATAAATGATATGTAGAGGAGTGCATCATTATCTACGACAGGGGACAGCCATTATGTCAATGACCGACCAGAATATATGCTACGCCCATACTGTGACATGTGATATGTCACATTTTTCAGGCAATTTTAATCTTTCTTGTTTTATTTTTCTGCGGTTGAATACGGTAAAAATATCAATTCTGTTGAAAATCATCTTCAAAGAAAATAGAAATATATCAATACAACTTTTAACTTTCTGTATATTCACAGGACTAGTTCAACTTTCTTTTTTATAGCAAGCATAATTCTCTTTTTCTTTTTTCAATTCGATGTTTTACTCAATGCTCATAATCCTTTTTTTCATTTATCAATAAGGCCATGTCGGTCACTTTTTTGAGCCGGGATCAAGAAGTGTGCTATTGCGTGAAGCGGACATAACTCAAAACGTGTTAAAAGCACTTTCCTGAAGCAATTTGTTCGACACAAGTCAAAAGTATGTCTTGAGTAATAAATCATGTTATGTAATAACAAGGGCGTGTTAGGCACGAAGGGACATATTTTTCCGATGTTTTCTAAAAAATATTTTGTTGAAAAATAAGTGAGTTATTTATTTATTAATGTTTGGTAAGTAATCAAAAGATTATTATCCCAAGAGCATTTTTATGTGAACATGGTAGGGAGTGGGAGTTTTAGGGTGACGGAGTGGGGATTGGGGATGTTGAGTGGGTAGGAAAGAGACAATGAACTTGAATTGTCACTTGTTTAAATTGTTTTACCTTACATTTCATTAGAGAAGTCATTTTTCTCATTTTTAAGAAGTTTGTTTTCATAAAGAAAATGTTATTCAAAATATTTTGACTAGCCAACTATGAGAAAATTGAAAAACATTTTTCAAAAAATGTTTTTTCTCAGTACCACACACTCTCTAAAGTGATGATTTCAGTTTAACACAAATATGGCAACGTTTATGCGATTCCGAGTCAAAAGTTTAATACTAATTACTAACAAATAGAGAATCAAAGAACTCAAAAGCAAATCTAAAGCAGATTTAGGAAAAGATTGATGACATGTAACTGGATTTTGCTTTTGCTTTAAGATATACTCCACGCAGTAGTGTTTTATTCTGTTTAGGTCAGTGTGTTAACCTTTTTAGCAAGTTTAGTAAGAACCCAATTAGCTAGGTCCCAAATCCCAATTTATACGTGCTCTTCCTGTTGCTGACTTAACTCTTCCTTTCTATTTAAAAAGTGGAACAGAACTAGCAGCATATAGGCATTCCGTTAGGTTGAAAACAACCACACAAGAAATATTCCTTGGATATCTAAAACTTATACAATAATTCAATTAGGGATGACCTAAGCATTGCTCTCTGAACCTTGGATAGATTTTCCAATTTTGGGTTTCCATTTTGAGCCTAGCTAACTCGAATTCACACCGAAAAATCTCATTTATAACAAGTGTTTATAGTTAGTTCTAAGGAACTCCAAATATAAGTAGAATAATTCAATATAGCACAACACAAACTTCTAGAGTAATACTAGCATCTTTCAAATGTGTCATTCAAAGTTAGGAAATTGCCAAAAAAGGAGCCTAGTTAAGCTAATCTTTCAACCTCTCCAAAAAGCCTTGTCCTATTCTACCCCCAAACTACGAAATAGTGATCAATCCCTATAGTGACATGATTATTTGACTACAACAACCACCAAATTTATGTCACTATGCCAGCTTGACACATTAGGTTTAAACAACAACAAATATCCACCGTCAAATGATTGACGATGGGAGGCAATCACCAAAATAGTTTCACTAACATGTCACTATGCCAGCTTGACATATTACCCATCAAGTAAACAGAATCCACAACAAACAAGCAAGTGGCGCCAACAATACCAACCCAACTTTCAAAAGCTAGTGTCATCAATCTCATTAATCTAAAGTCTTAACTTTTTCTGTAGTGTGGAACAGGTGTGCAAATTTTTTCACAATGATTCCATCTCAATCAATGATCATGAAGACCAAGTATGGAGAGTGGATTTCTAATAATTCCTTCTTTAGGAATTTCAGTGTTTGTATGATGTATAACTGTGAGTAATGGCCTAATAGGAAATTCACTAATCATCCAACCACTTGACCCCATGTTTAGCCCAGAGATTACCGGCTTTATCTGGACCCTTGCTACCAAACTCGTAATGCTCAAGTGTCGCATTATTATTGTCCAACTCACTTAAAACTGGAGATAAAATGTTCCATGCAGCTTCAACCTCATCGCTTCTCATGAATAGATGGTTATCTCCATCTATTACATCATGAAGAAGTTGTTCATACGAGTCCGTTACATCAACATTGTACCTAGTACATCAACAAGAGAAAACAATAAGAAAGTATGGAAATGGAGATCCTAACATAACACTAAATTCACAAAATTACTAACATAAGAAAATAGAAAACATTACTTGTCTTTATAAAGCAAGTTCAATTCCGAAGCCTCCAAGTTCATGCCTAATCCTGGAATTTTATTATTAATTCTGATGAGTATGGCCTCATCAGGCACATCACGCAGAATCAGCTCATTAGTGACAAGATCTTGCATATGCCCTCCTCCATCTTTATGATAAATGTTTCCAGGAACACGACGAAATTGTATACGAATTTCAACTCTGAAACACATCAGTAAGGATAAATTAGAAAGAACAGACCTATTTGATGATAATCAAAATCATGCATCAAATTCATTGGATTATGAGACAGATATGAATAGTTTAAATGGAACATGTGAAAACTATCATAGCAGCAATCTACATATGCATTAAAACTTCAAAAAAAATGTAAAAATGATTCACCTCCTATGTGTTTAGGCAGTAGGATATGATATTTCAAATGGTTGAAGGTGAAATAGAGATACTATAACTAGAGAGCAGTGATCAGACCTGTTCTTTTTGAGCCCCCTGCCAGCCTTAATAAGAAAAGGCACACCGTCCCACCGTGCATTATCAATGTGTAAAACAGCACCAAAATATGTGGGCATTAGATTTTCCATATCCTTGAAGTTACTTCCAGAATCAGCTTCGCTATGCCCAAGAATTACATCAGATGATCCCAATTTTCGAATTGATTTCAAAACCTTAACCTGAGGAGGAAATGATTTATATGGCCAATTTCAACAAAAAATATTGAAAATATTTTGTAACTTATAGGGAATAGAGGTTACATACTTTCTCATAACGAACATCTTCACCATCAAGGGTGACAGGCGGCTCCATAGCAAGCAAGGCCACTGTCTGGAAGATGTGGCTGTGTACAACATCTCCTAAAATCCCATAGCCTTTAGGATATCTATTACGTGAAGGGGAAAAATGAAGAGGGTGAGGATTAGGATCAAATACTTATAACCTACATAAGTGAACTGAAACCTTGGCTACCTTGCTGAGGTCTGCATGCCTAACTCTTCAGAAAAAGTGACCTAAAAATAAATGTTCAATGATAAGCTAAGACTTTTTGCATCATTCCCAAGGTGAATCGAGCGTCGGTTATCCTAAGCAAATTACCTGTATGTTGTGTATGTAACTTCGATTCCATAATGGCATAAATACTAGATTAGAGAACCTTAGAACCGCAAGATTCTCAATTGTGTTCCTTCCCAAAAGATGATCTATCCTGGAAGATAGGCAAGTAAAACAGTGATGAGTAAATAATTCAGAATTCAAAGTCTTCTTATATCACACATGTTGCTTTTGAACCTGTATAATTGCTTTTCCTCAAAGTTTGAGAGAAGGGAGGTAGTCAACTGATGAGAAGAAAATGAACCCAGACCAAAGGGTTTTTCAATTATTACACGATTCCAACCCCTCTGGGTTTGGGCCTTTTCAGCAAGAGAGGATGCTACGTCGATAAGTGCTACTTGAGGCACAGAAAGGTAAAATATTCTGTTTGCTCCAAACTTTCCCTAAGGTACACGAGCTGTTAACAACAGTAATAGAAATAACATAGATTTGGATACAATGAGCACTTACGCGCACAAAAAGTACAGCAACAACATACCCAGTGTAGTCCCAGTGTCCCATGCGGTGGGGTCTAGGGAGGGTAGAGTGTATGTACACCTTACCCCTACCTCAAAGGTAGAGAGGTTTTTTCCGATAGGCCCCCGGCTCAAGGAAAAACAACAGATAGTAATGGAAGTACAAGAAACAACATATAGTAATAGAATAGTACTACAACAAAATAATACGATAGTAGAAGTACAAGAAACAACAGAACGTGCACCATAGGTCGACAATCCTCAGCAGTACTTACCTCAACTTCTTCCATGAGAGTATTGAGCTTTGACATTCCTTCTCGGTTGTCATACCCTCCATAAAGATAGAATATCCTTTTGAGAAATGCATCCATTTTTTCTTCACAGTTATCTCTGTATAAAGAAACTTTATAAAGTTAAACTACATCATGTTCCACCAATGATTTTATTTTAACATATGAAAATTGAGACGAGTTTTTGTTTAATAATTTGGGATAATTTCATAGACCTCTCAATTTTTTCTTTGTAGTACTAACTTCCCTTGTGATTTACGATATTATGCTTACCTCCTTTATTTTTATTTTTTGGTAACATTTCTTTTAGTACATTTTTCATCAATGTAAAATCTTTATAATTTGACCTTATTAAGTATACTCTTTCGTTTAATTATTTCTATAAACATTTTTAAAAGATATGCAAATTCACGCCACCATCTCTCCCTCTCTTCGGCATCCTTCTTCTCTGCACTTCATACTTTCTTTTACAATTTACTTTACATCTATTATTTTATAAAGTTCCCTTTACCAATTAAATGAATTTTGGTCATAGGAATTTGAAAGTTTGCACATTAATTGTCTGTTCTTCTTTAAGCCTTTTCCATAACTACTTATTTTTTGTTTGAATTTGGGGAATTATGTGGTGTGTTTCTTTCCTTGTTCCACAGGAATCCTCTTCAATTAAGTTTTTTTCTATTTCTTTCATTATTGTATACCTCCTTCTTTTCAGTATTATTTCTGAATTTTTTAACAAATATGTTCATTAAAAAGTTCCAGCAAAACTCAAACCACATAATTTTATGGCACAGGGAAAAATTACACCATCTTTAAGGAGCTTCTTTAAGAAGATATTATAAGATAAATTAAACAAAAAAGCATATTAGAAAGGACAAATTAGTCAAATTATAATTGTTTTCATCAAAGAAAAATGAGTTAAGAAAATTGTGACAAAGATTTCAAAATAAGGGCGATAAGTGTAATATCGTAAACCACAAGGCAGGTTAGTGTGATGAAGCGAAACCTGGGGGAGGTCTCTAAGATTATCCCTAATAAATTTTATGTTAATAGATCAACAACAAGAAAGCGCCAATTTTCATGATACAAACCATTTGTTTCCCTGATCACTCATAACTCCCTCATTAGCCTTTCAGGTGCTCTAGCAAATGTATCTTAAATTTTGAAGGCAAAGTCTAAAAAAAGTTCTAGTCAAAAACTCAAACTCTAGAAAAGAATCAGCTATACAAAATCCGTCAGTGACAAAATCCCCTCCCCCCCCCCCCTCTCTCTCTCTCTCACACACACACACACACATGTGCATTCAAGCTCTCTCTCTGTGCATAAGCACATATTTCTAATGTGTCCTATGATATAAGCAGATGGATAGACATAGTCAGCATATAAAACAGAGGTACATATATATATATATGCATTTGGAAGTTAAGGAACATACTGGTGATCAATGCGGCAACTTAAAGTTGGTGCTATTATGGCTCTTAGATCTTCTTCAGTTAATTTTTTCCGTGAGTACCCAAATATACCAATTTTCTGCAGCCATCAGAAAGCCAGTAAGCCTAGAAGGTTAACCTCATATGTATATAACTATCCAGTATTATGCTTCCTATCATTAAAAAGTAGCAAGCAGAAGAAACTAGCAACATACTTCAAATATTCCAATTCAATTTTAGCTTGATCTTATTCGACTACCTTGTTAATATTTTTATCCAAAATGTTCCAAGTTTTGAGCCCTTCAATTGTTCTTGCGTGAATCTACTTCAAATGATTCTTACAGAACAAGAAATTACCAACTATCATATACTTCAACTTAAAGTGCCAAATTCATTTGTTTCATAACTTCATGATGTGGTCATCTCTTCTTCAGTTGTGGAGCCCGGAACATTTCATACTTTTACACTCTATAATTACACTTGGTGTGGCACATGAGTCCACTCTTCCGGCATGATGCTTAATCTAGTCCAAAGTCCTAACAGTTGCAACTTACCACCAAATTACTTGCCCAGGTAACAAGTGTTATCACCACTAGCTCAAAAGCTTAAACGCACAATGTGGAAGAAAACTAATGCTTATACCTCTTTCAGCTAGTTCAGTCCAACAAGCATGGCACCACTCCACCCCTTCAAAAGGCTTTTTCAATGTTAATCAAGATACTACATTTGATCTAAATAAAAAAAAGTATCAAGCTGAGCTCAAGCTATCAAAGATAATTTCAAATAGTTACTTTCTGAAATTTGAGCATAGAGTCTATCGGAACAGCCTCTCTATGAGGTAGGAGTGAGGTCGCGTACACTCTACCCTCCCATACTCCACTTGTGAGATCACACTAGGTATGTTGTTGTTATTGTTATACCACCAATTAATATGACTTGTGAGGTACAACAATTAGAAAACAATTGAATTAGCGGTGTAGCTATGACAGACGGTAGCAAAGAAAAATTAAATTTTTCATTAGTAAGAAATATATAATGAAAAGCTAAGATGAAATTGTGTTCCACCAGGATCAGAAATGAATATTATGGATACTGAACATAATAAAAATTTCAACAGATGCGTAGAACTCAAAAAGGAGCACAATGGTAGTTGATCAATGTACCTACCTCTGGAAGTTGACCACTGTAATACAAAGCAAATAATGCTGGAAAGATTTTCTTTCTGGCTAGTACACCAGTGGCCCCAATAACAGCAATGCTAAGAGAGGCTGAATCATCAGTTGGTGCACCACTACTGGATGATTGAGTCTCAAACAAAGGCAAAGGCAACTTTATGGAAGCCTCCGTCCCAGAAGTGTCAATTATAACTTCTTCATCAAGTGAAGTAGTGCTTCCAGTTCCTTCAACATTAAAAGAGGTCGACCTTATGGAAGATCGTGGTCTGTTGACATCATGAGGTTGAACATATGCCACATAGTCTATTTGTGTTCTGGATTTCTTTATCGTATGGCTCTGTGTAAAGAATATATATCAGTCTCCAGAAAAATATTCACCTTCACAATGGCATTGGCCAGAAAAAGTGCACGTGTATTCCCCAACTAAACCACACTATTATAGAAAGCTGGAACAGTGAAATATCAAAAGGTAAACATGATTCACCAGCTTCTTCTGATCTGAAGATTGAAAGTTATAAAGAAGTATCAAACTGAAAATATAGACCAAGGTTTAGATTCATCTGGTCAACCAGTTCACACGACTAAACAAATTTAAGAATTCGGGGCATGCAGGAAGAAGTAAAACTTCAATTTGGCGCTGTAGCATGTAGAACATGCATGCTAATACAACTCAACATATGTGAGATGCGGATTTATACATCTTTCTAAATTTTTACCAATACCTTTTAGGTGAACTGTGAACATGTCTTGAAAGGATCACAGAGATGTTTTAGAAGCACGACAGCACTATAACATGGTTAACATAACTAGTTATACAATCATTTGGAAACACAATTAGATAGAAATCTTAGCAGATCCAGTTATTAACCTTATGCTTGTAATTTGATAATTGCTTCTTCATTAGTATAAAATGTATATATAAAACTTCCAGTCACTGTATTGTGCAGAACATGAAAAATCATATATTTCGTGAAAAGGATCACATTTTATCGGGGCATATAGAAATGTGTTACACATTTTCAATTGACACATTTCTATTTATGACATTATCCTGTTCCACTTTAAGAGTTCAAATTTGTTTGATTAGTCTAGCTATAATTCTAAAATGATACTTTCCCAATCAAAGTAAACTTTTCAGTTATGAATTTAACAGGTTTATCAAGACTTCAACAGCTACCAGTACAAATGTATAATAGACAAGTCAATTTGACATTCTAAACTCCACCTGAAATTAAACTGAGTGACATGATACTGGACGCTGTGGCTATAGGATCAACCAAAGCCTCACCCAAGCAAGAGCTACATCTTATTCTCCCAGAACCAAAAGTTGACTGTTTATGTTTTCCTAGGGTCAGTTTGACTGATTTCCAGTCCAAATTTGATATTGATATCCACTTTCTGAAAATAGCTAGTTAGTCATTATCAGATTTGGACTGGAAATTCTTCAAATTATCAGAACACTAGCTATTCCAGAAATTATTACTATAGGAACATTAGCTACTCCAGGTTAATACTGAGCATACACAGATCAAGGTTGATGATGAAATTTGCAATACTTCCAAGTTACTCTTCTACAAAGTATCGAGAAGTCTACTTTTAAGGATTCACAAATTATCAGTGCGAATCTGTATATAAACATACTCTCTGCATTATTCCCCTCTGTACTTTCTATACAAAACTGCACAATCACACTAACACTTAAATTCGAAAGTGGAATAAATGGGTTAGTCACTTATTCTCTGCATCGTCTAAATTTTATGGGACTTAATAACTTATTGTATTCATATCACTGAAATTGCAACATCATTCAGTCGATAAACATCAATTTTCTTCATAATTTCTGAAATAACTTAATTTTTCAGCTGAATTTCATACACGAATTGAAAATCACGGAAGAGAATACGATAGGATCAGCACCATATAGCTCAATTTGGATACCAGAAAAAACATAAGAAAATGGATACAGAACTGACCGGAAAAGAACGAACAACAACGGTAGGTAATACAGAAAGTTTCCGATAAATTGACGGGACGATTGAGGTCTCCGATGAAGACGTTGATAGCGATACTGGTGAAAGCGACGCCATCACTTTGAATATCCCGATCAACGTTTTCTGTTGTATTTTCTACTAGTATACTGTATGTCGTTGTTTACTGTGTAAAAAAACGTTGATGTCTGGGTTTTGGTAATGCTTTGGGCTTGGGTTCTCACAATTTTGGATTCTTGATATTGGGCCCATGGCCCAATTTGGAGTAAGGTCCGAAAGGGACAATTGGGAAATTTTCTCACACCACATATATTATTAAATTTGTAAATTCTTTCTCAGATAAAAGGAAAAGGTTAACTGATATTATGACATTACTAGACAACGTAAATATTATTATGGGAGAATTTGATTATTTGAATGATAATTTAGAGAAACTATCCTTTTATTCAAATTGAAATTGTTATTAAAAGAAGTCTATGAGGTTATACGAATGCTTTGTCCCAATTTTTCATAGATTGTGCTAATAGAAATAGTTGGGTAAATATCATATTTTATATTTGTGAATATGTATATAATAACACTTGTTACATGTATTTATGGAAGCACCAAAGTTATTAAGGCATGAGATCACCTAACTAAACAAAAAAATCAAGTTCATACAAATTCAGTAGCTTTTGCTTAGATCTTGTATATTTAATTTTAAATTTTTTATTAAATATATATAAATATTTTATATTGAATTCAATAACTATAAAACGAGCTATAAATTCTTCTCAAGTTTATAACTTATAAACTTAAATTTCTTACTCCCTTATACATTATATATATCTAATTTATCACTTACAATAGATCATGTTGGAATGAAAAAAATTGTTGGGTGCTATTGCACCTATTTAAAATCGAAGAGGATTGAGTCCACCTGTCAATATAGTGCATGTCCCTACCAACTAGACTAAAATACTTGTCAATTAAGATAAGCCTCAATTACCTCAAGAGATTTGTGGCTAATATTAGTAACCAAAAACGTCATCTTGTATGTATTATAAGGTTACTATTCTCACTATAGTTGTTGGGTAGCAAGACTTTTCTCATGAAGAGTTAAATTGTACGGATACGAGCACACTATGAAGGAACGTAATTTTTTAATGCGATGAACTTATTTTAAACGTAATTTTTTAATGTGATAACTGATAAGCTTGTTCAAAACATATCTCTCATCACTAAAAAAATATAGAAAACAAATCAATCTAAGCACTCCTTGTAAAAGAGACGTTGTGACATATATCATGCATGTATAAGGGTTGAGAGAATCGAATTCTTTGACCAATCATATTTTGAAATGTGTTGATAATAGCCTCATTGGAGATAGTACTAAGTACTAAATATTCTAGTGCAATTAGTTTAATTTAGCCTAATTTGATTATAAGTGGTTGGAAGTTTGAATAATGACCATTACATTCGCGCTGCAAACCAACGAGCCAAGAAGCTCAATTGTTCAAGCAGTGTCATTAGCGTTATTTATAAGAATATTTCTATTTTTTTCAGATTTTTTAATATATATAATACTAAAAATTTTCAACGAAGTAGTGTCGATTGACACCCCATAATATATAGGGTGGGTCGTATATACTATCCTCTATAACTATGTAATAAAAAGAAAATCAGAACTTAATTCCTTTTTATTTTAAAGGAAATCATATGGTAATAGCGCATAGGTTTGTTTCACGGCAAAATAATTAAGTAAAAATAAAGAAATGTATCTCCTTTCCATTCTTTATTCTTTTTTGTTAGGGAGGATAGCGGGTGAAAAGGAAATTATAGTAACTTGATTACATTTGATCATAGTTTTTTTTTTTAATTAATGAAATTTAATTAATTGTTGGGTGAAATTTTATTGTCACTATTAAAATTTTAAGATCCTTTTAAGTAAAATACATGTTCAAGCATAATTTTAAATTTCAAAAATTTTTTTTTAATAAATTTTAAAATTTTAACTAAATTTATGATCAAACACCGATTTAAGTTTTATTTTTTCACATTTCCTTCAGTTCATCCAAAGCAAATCTCAAGAATCTTTATACTATAAATTATAACTTATATAGCCAACTAGTTATAATTGGAGTATTATTTAGATAATTTGATATCAATCATTTCTTAACTGTTAAGTACTAATTTGTTATAAAAGTTAAATCAAGAAAAGAAAAAAAAGAAGAAGAGAGGTTAAAGTAAAGGCAATTATCTCAGAGGTGAGATTATTGCAATTTGCAAGTCAAGAAGGCAAAACAAACATACAACAAAGTCATCACAATAATTACGTAAAACGTATTTTATAATAATATGACTTCTTGTTTTATATGATAACGACCCACCACTACCACGTTCTTTATCCGTTTTTTTTTTTAATAATATTCCAAAATTTTACTCATCAATAAGGAAGAATCCCAATCAGTAGTCTTCTACCATTATAATCACCTTTTGATCAGATAAGACCACTTGCTTCAGTCCTTTATTCTTTTGGCTCTCTCTCTTTCAGCTTTCAGGTAACAAAATTTATGTTTTCAATTCTAAGTTTTCTGCTTTTTAGTCTTGATGATTTATGGGGTTCTGATCCATATGATCTCTCGTTATTTTCAACTGGGGTTTAGTTTTTTTTTGTGTTTATAATCATGACTTTGACTTATTAGTGATGAATTTGGGGTAATTTGGTCTGTGAAATCATTCATGTTTACAAGAATTGGGAAGATTCTAACCTGGGTTCTTGTTTGGTTTTGGATCAAAGTTTTGAGCTTTAATTGTTATCTAACATCGTTTTCACAAAGGTCTATTTTTTGTTCTTTTATCCCTTTTTGACATGGTATAGTTTGAAGTTTTGCTTTGTTCTTCTTCATTGATTACTGTTAGTGCAAAATTTCTACTTTTAAATCAGTTTGAGACAGAAAGATTGTCATAATTGGACACTGATCCGTGGTGGCTGTGATGGGAATTTATGGTTTACAATCTTGCAATGAAATCTTTTTAGGTTTTTGGTTCATAGTTTTGTTTGATGCAGGTGTTTAATTAGAAAGTGAATCTATTTTTGATGCTTTGAATTTTTTTCAGTTTCGTCTGACTAGGGGATAGATGGGGTCCGAAGGGCCTTCACCTGTGATCGTACATGTGACTGGTTTCAAGAAATTTCATGGAGTTGCTGAAAATCCAACAGAAACCATTGTAAGTAATCTTAAAGATTATATGAAGAAAAGGGGTATGCCCAAAGGGCTGATCCTTGGGAGTTGCAGCATCCTTGATACTGCAGGCCAGGGAGCCCTAGTTCCCTTGTATCAGACACTGCAAGCTGGTTTAAGTGGTGGTGACTCGGAGTCATCTAATTCCAGGAGAGTTATTTGGGTTAGTTGCTCACTTGGCTTCTTTTTACCTTTCATGCTTAACTTTGCTCTAGTGTCCAAATGAGGAAATGATAGGTTTTTTATTTCTTTAAGTTAGAAAATGGTCACATGGCCATTTTAAAATTGTGTAGCTCTGTATTATTTTTGGTGTTAAGTGTAAACAGAAGCTATTTATGCAGCTTATACATTGGTTGTAACTTAGAAAATAGGACCTTATGTAACTACAACACTTTTGAAGGGGGATTACATTTTCTGATGTAGTATACCTGTGATATATATATAGACTAACTGTTACCTTTCTCTAAAAAAAAAAAGGTCACATGGCTGTTAATTCTATTGGACCTTAATATGACATAAAGATGGAAATTTTTCTTTATGGAATCTGACAGGACCATGTCGTATCATGACACAATTAGTGTTCCTTTTCTCCTATTACGAAATGTATGACCTTTAATTTGGATGTGGTTGGTTTTATCTTGGAAATATCACACTTCTACTTTTGTCGTGTCCGATATGGAAGTTTTGGATCATAGTTCATACAAATTGATCATCTTTGAATGATGCAGGGTGCTACTGCTTTTGTATTTGTGGAAGGATCCCATTGCTGACGAAATGGTCATTAGATTATTTTTTTAATCCTGAAAACCGCTATACTTCCGTTTTTCAGAAATTTGATGCATGCTATGATGTGTAGGCGGCACCTTATATATACTCTAGGCTCTTGGGATTATCTGAAATGAAATTCAAATCCTGTTCTGGACCCAATCCTGTAAAAGTGTACTTAAATATGCTGCTAGAAGTGTTACCTTTACCAAAAATATGTTGCTAGAAATTAGAATGTTTCACAAATTTACCTTAACAAAATGGGTTTGTTTCATAGACTTAGGACAGTTATTGAATCATTTATAATATCAGGATTGTATTCAGGTGTTAAGAGAAGAGAGATAAAAGGGAGGGATAAAGGTAGCAAATGGGGGAAAAGGGGAGGGATAAAGCTAAACAAAGAGAGAGTTGTTTATTTGTTTACAACCAAATGACCTAATTCTTTCGTCGTGCCTTTATCTTTTATACTTGTGACTTGTGAGGGGAAATGTTGTCCATTTTTCGTTGAAATTGCTGAGTGACATATTCTTGTATAGAGAATACCACTAAACTTTTTAATTCCTCTGAGATCTAGAATACAGAGCACATATGACTTAACATAGTTGCGTGGAGTACCACTCCATGATGACATGAGGAGGGAATGGAGTTTATGGTGTTCAAGTGGCTAGAGAATATTATGGTTATGCTCTAGAGTCTTTGTTGCGAATTCTCTGTCACAGTCAAATTATCTATGGAGTATTTTGATGCCCAATATTTGTACTTCATATACCAAGATAAATCTAATTCGTGGTAATTTCATCCAGGTACATTTTGGAGTTAATAGTGGTGCCACAATGTTTGCCATAGAGAATCAGGCTGTCAATGAAGCTACTTTCCGTTGTCCAGATGAGATGGGATGGAAGCCTCAGGTTAGTTAAAAGACCTTCCAGTTTTCATTTGTCCTGTTTCAGTTTGTTCAGTTCATCAACTGAACTCAAGATTTTTATCCTGTTACTTGCAGAAAGTCCCTATTGTTCCTGCAGATGGGGCAATTTCGCGTAAACGAGAGGTATTATGATTTCTTGCATCCATCTCTCATGATTTCTGTAGAATGGTTATTAAAATTTAATGTTTATCTTGTTACCCAACTTTGAAGTCAACCAAATATGGTTGGTACTTATATGAAA